AAACTTTTTCAACAAAACTGACTCGATTTCATCATCTTCGAGGTCGTTTCCCTTAATCGCGCATGTGTATGCTGTCACATGCTCGTTTGGGTCCGAGGTCCCATTATACTTCGGGATATCGGGCATTCTAAGTTTCTTAGGGATAGGTTTTGGGGCGGCACTGGATGGGAACGGTTTTTGTACAAACTTTTTAGCGTCAAGGCCTTTCAGGACCGGAGGTGCACCTGGTATTTGGTCGACCCTGGAGTTGTATGTTTCTACTTTTTTATCGTTGGCCTCGATTTTTTCCTCCCCCTTTTCGATTCGTTCGGTCAATTCTTCTAGCCTCCTAAGAACCGCAGAATCAGCATCCGGCCCACCCCGTTCCGGCTGTACTAGGGTCGGATTGATGATTGCAGCTGCACGGGGAGCCTCCTCGGACCTGACAGGCTCCTGGACCCGGCTCTGGAGCTGAGCTATAGCCGATTGCTGGGCTTGCAGCATGTCAAAAATCATTTTAAGGTTGATAGTCTCTTCGCCGACTGCCTGGGCCCTCGAATCGTCCTCTCCCCGGACGCTATGTGATGATCCGGAGGCCTGATCAGTGTTGAGCGCCATCCGGGAATCGGCATCTATCGGGTTTTCGAGCCCGGGCATTCCATTGTTTCCTGTCTGCTGTTCAAGTTCGTTGTTGATTGATTGTGCCATTCTATGAGTTGGTAATTTGAATGTAAGATGGACTCTTTTGCAAAGAACCAGTGTACTGTGATGCGTCAAGAAAGAGTATCAAAGAGCTCACTAATATCCTTAGCCCCACGGTGGGCGCCAAACTGTTTACCCTGGAATCCGGATAACAATTGAATTTATATGGGGTTTTAAGGATCCGTGAACTAAAAGATACAAAAGGTTTGGATTGAGGAAAATAAAAGATAAAGACTCAACAATTGCTGTTAAAGTAAATAATCACAGAATATAATATTGCTTAGAACAATTGTGCTTGATAGCGTACAAGAATTGAGAGAGATGGTACTGTAGTGTAATGGTTTTCCATTCCCTCTTTATGGGGTCTTCTCCCCTTTTATACATTCTGATTAAGGGTAAAAATAAGGTAGGTAAATTAATTACATCGTGGATCCCTGTAATTACGCCTTAATGGCCTGAAGTGGTTGAGAAAATCACGTTTGGGCGAGATATCCGGCGACGCTTGGTTATCCGTTACGAGTCCGGCTTCCGACCTTGTGTGTTTCTCCATCCGGTGGTGACTCATATCGAGCTCTGCAACGGTCTCGAAATGACTCGACCTCGGTTGTTGACGTGGCCGTCGTTCTACCTTGCATCCAGGTCGGGTTCGATGGCCCCGACTTGCCCCGGACCGGACCCAACCCGGTCGGGCTCAAGCAAAAAGGGTATCACCCAATACAGTTTCATAACACGTTATCAGCACGAGACTCTAACCAATTGAGTAGAAGCTTTGGGATTGAGCATAATGATTGTCAATTACTCCATAAAATTCCTTCATGATTAAATTCTGGATTTAAGGTAAGTATTTTACCGTATTTTTCTCTTTTATTCTATACTTTGATTTTAAATACAAGCAAAGACAACAAAGTTTGATTATAACTCTAATGGGGTTTGTAAGAAATTATAACCACCTGAAGTGGTAAAATTTCTTTGCCTCGCCATGATCAAATTCATGTATGATTGTGGACAAAGAATTGAAAACTCGTCCCATTGAATTTGTTCCATTCTCATTCCCTTAAGAGAATGTGATAGCAGTATGTGATAAGTCTGAAAGAAGACAAAATTATTACTATGTATGTATCAATGGATATGGACGTGGCAATAGACGAAATTATAATCGTCATCATTTGTGGTAATGAGAATAATAAGGATTCTCAAAATAATCCTTCACTCTGTGAAAGTAATATTTGTCATCGATTTGACATGAGATTTTATAAAGCACATATAGATGATTATGGTCCATTCATGATGTGAATGTGACAACATCTTATTTATGAATACATATTCACTCTTGGAAGAATATGAACGTGCTAGTGGTAGTGAATATACCACACTCACCTCTAGAAGGAGGTTTGAGATGATATAAGAAAACAATGTCATTTTTATGGCATGAGTGGTCATTGGTCACGTACCTATTGTATGTCAAAATAACTTGGTAATGTGATTATTAAAGAATCACATTAATGCAAGAAACATATCTTGCATATAATTTTGACCATAACCATAATGGTATAACTTTCTCTTTAAAAGAGATATTCACCATATGGATGTTGATGAATATGTGGTAGTACCAAATTAATTGAGAGCTCTGGAAGAGCCAATTATTACTATTTTGGAGAAACACAATTGATTACCAATAAGGTATTGTGTTGTAGTAAGTCTCAAAGAAACTTATTCAGTTTCCAAAGTATACGCGAAAGCGGTTGATTATATTGAGACTATAAATAAAGGAAAGATTCAATATCTTCTATTACTACAATTTGTAGCGGGGCAATATGTATGTGAAAAGCTACCCGCTTTATTCTCCAGTTTGTACTATACAAAGAAAAGAATACCACAATAAAGTGGATGTTTATTGATATAAAAACCCATATCATAATAAACTTGGAGTTTATTGATAATTGCACACGTCATGGCGTAAATCTGAAGTTTATCAATATTGATAATTTATTCAGTTGGCATAATTGGTTTAGCCATATCAATTTAAGTATAATGTGCAAAAATAATAGAGAATTCACATGGGTAAATATTAAAGAACTAAAAAGTTCTTTACGAATTCTCTTATATTGCTTGTTCTCATTAATTAATAAATCAACTAAAATTGGGATTGAATCCCATGAATGCTGGAAATATCAAAGGTGAATATGGGCCCATTCACCAGCCATTATACCACATAAGATGCATCTATGAGATGGTTACATGTGCAATTATTAATAACCCGCAACATGGTATTTTGCGAGGTAACGTGCTCAATAATTTAATTTCGAGCATAATTTCCAGATTTTCTATTCAAGATAGTTTATCTTGATAAGTTGGCTTACATCACAGTTGGTTTAGCAAAATGATTTATTGAGTGCCTCCACTTAATAGCTAAACTATTGCTTATGAGAACAAAGTTATCTATATCACTTTGATATAGGTTATATACGAAAGTATATTACATTCTCCCCTCACAAGTGGTTTCAGGTTCAGGAACCAAATAATTTCATCTCATTATTATTGATGTGCGGTGTATATTTTGATTAACACCATAACGCACAAAGATGAGTTCTCAAAGTTGAGGAAACAAGTTAGTTTTTCTAACATGAGGGGGAGACAAGATACAACAGTTGAGAAAAAGTTACATGGAATGAATTATCATTTATACATCTATATCCCCGAATAAAATAATATGAACTTGAAGTTCATAAAAGGATAATTCAGTTGCAATATATTGCAAAGCATGCCAGACGCATTTGCTGACCCAAAGAAAGTAACTATATTCTCATTGCAAATGCTCCTATTAAGTCCTAGAAGGACAAAGTCTACGCTTAAAGCGTATAGACAAATCGGTTTCAAATAAACTTCTTGATAAAGAAGATGATCAAATGATCAAAATGATCATAATAAAGGAGGCAAGTGATCTGGAAGATCACATGACATAACACTTTATAAAATCTCAGGAGAGATTCAGGAACCTGAAAATATGAATGAAGAGATCTCTATGTCATGTCTTTATGAAAATAAAGCTGGAACCGATATAAAATGTTTGTCGATGACATCTATAATAGCGCTAAATATATATGAGGATCTTAAGTCTGAAGAAACAATTCGAATAGATTTGGTTTTATATGAAAGACATGTAGTTTTGAACATGTAGTTCAAACACTTGAAAGTATAAAGTCAATGGTGTGTGCAATCAGTTTTCGATATCTTATATATCTAGCATGACATGAAAACTTGATATGCATCTAATTAAAGTCTATTATATGACTTATATGACAATCCTTGAAGGATTTAAATTGCTTAAAGCATATAGAATTCATGGTCACGAAGTACTATATCCTAAATGCAATTTGTGCACATATGTATCTTGCTATAACTATGAGCATGATAATATGATAGCAAGAGTTTTCACCTCTATGTGAAGATATTGAACTGACGATTCCAACAAGATCATATGAAGACAATTCATCTCTATCAAGAATGATGATTTCAAGGTGAAATATAATCATTCAAGTTAATATGCCTGATTTGTTCATCAAATCTCTACCAAAGATCTTTTGAAGATGATGCACAAGATTGGAATGCAAATGCTTAAGGATGTGAAGTGATGCTCTCATGAGGGGAAGTTAATACGCGTTGTACTCTTTTTCCCTTACAAGGTTTTGTCCCACTGGATTTTCTTTGCAAGGTTTTTAACGAGGCAACCAAAAGGCGTATTTCTAAGCATGTGTACTCTTTTTTCTTCTCTAGAATTTTTTTCCCACTGGGTTTTATTTTAATTAAGGTTTTAACGAGGCATATTATCTGTTGAATAGACATTCAGGGGGAGTATTATAAATAGAATTCTATTTATGGTGAATGTTTATATTTAGAGAGATCCTAGAGTTTATTACTTGGTGGCTAAGTCAACCTCTCCCTATAAATAGAGGGTTCTATTCCATTGTAATTCATCCCAAATCAATAAGAATTCTCTCCCTCTACTTTTCTCTGCAATACTCTTCTTCTTTTATTGTTTCATAACCGTTTCATAACAAAACATAAATTTTTTATAGGAAGCACAGGAATATAACTCCTACAAAATCTTAATCTGAAGTCTCATCTAAATCCTTGGGATAGAATTTATGGATCACATAGTTATCTGTCTCTCCTAGTCGATTCAACCGTGACATTGACAGCGGTTAACCACCTATATAATCCTAATATATTGAAACGCTTCTTATAAAGATACAACATAGCCGGGGAGCATCGATGAGGCAGCTGCACATTGAAAAACAATTAAGATAAGACACTCTATATCAGTTTGGAAATCAAAGAATTGAATAAAGCTGTGGTTCAAAAGTCGCAAAATCTTTCAGCACTCTTACAATTGTCAATAACCCTTCAATTTGCATAAATAAAATCCAAATTCATAGTAATCTATTCTCTATCTCCTACAAAAAGCACATTCCTGGCTGTCATTCCTTATCAACCCTATCATCAAACCCAAGACCAGGGCTTGGTACTTCCTTGCCGGAATAACTCCTGTTATCTGCCAAAAGACACATGAATTACTGTTGTGCACATTGCACTCTTTGCGCACCACCATGCATATCGTCCTCATCATCTTCCTCGTATGCCTCTTGGGCCTGCTGCTGCCTCTTCCTACGCATCTCTTCTTCCATGTTCACATCATGCAAAGTGGTCTCCTCGCACTCGTCCAACTCCATATCGGAAGCTTGTGTTTTAGGCCTTGGCGGCAGTACTGCTTCAAGGTTCTTGCACATCTCTGGAGCAAATGTATCGGGGAAGTCTACAGTGAAGTGAATGTACAGTTTTCCCCTCATGAATGGCCTTTGGTACATTGGCATTCCTTCATCATTTATGCCCTTAAATTGATCTAGGTGCCAAAAAGAAATTACATGATCAGTAAACATGAGGATATTTTCAGACAACTTGTAAGTAAAACATTGGCCATAGCATCCATGAGCAAATGACAATCATGTAGACACATGCTTTTTTATGCATGCTCATATGTATAGATAAAGAGAGAGTGTAGACTTGGATACTTTTTCTAAATTTCCCAACCAATGTCTGGTACCTGCTTTAGGGCCCCACTAATCCGGATTCACATTAGAAGTCCCACTTTGGGGTTTAGAGTACTCCTTACCAGCTGCAACTTCAATCCTAGGGCTCGAACTCGAGACCTTTGGTTAAGAATGTTCTTTTTATTTAAGCACTAAGTGCTGAAAAAGTAGACTTATAAACATATAAATTCATACATGCATAAAAAAAAGAACTGAAAGGATAGACCAAGAACTACAATGAAGTTTGACAATTGTCTAGTTACCAGTTTGAGGACTCAAAGAAAAGCATACAAATGCCAGAAAATTAATTAATTATTAGTATTCACATAAAATATATTAGGTTAGTACTAGACAGCAGTTGCCAGGAGACATAATTGACAGAAGCAGCCTATACAGGGAGACTCCAATACATTGCAAATGACAGTTAAGCACAAATATCAGAATCAAAAGGCCATCAGGTTTCTTCAGCTTACCAGGCTTGACAACTTCTCCAGGTTGGGATTTAATGAGCAGCTGTCTGCTGTCTAGGTGTGTCAAGACGAACTGGAAACCACATAGCGCCTCAGTCAAGGTCAAGGTGTGCTCTACAAAGAGATCATCTCCCTTACGCTTAAACTTGGGGTGTTCCTTCTGTTGTAATATAAAAACTATGTCCCCAGTGATAGTTTCGGGCTGCGAAAAAAAACACAAACCATGTTAAGAATCAATACATTTTTGGTCATTAAGAAACAAAACATTTCAAACACTTTGTTGCATATCTTACCGCTTCGTCAGCCTCTCCTGGGAATGTAATCTTTTGTCCATTCTGCATACCCTTCTCCACATGAACTTCCAACACCTTCTTCTGCTGCACAACTTTCTCACCCTTACACTGTGGGCACCTATCTTTCTCGTTGATTTTCTCACCAGTACCCTTACAATCGTTACAAGGGTGCTGCATCTGCTGGATCATGGGGCCAAGTTGTCTGATAGAAACTTTCATTCCAGACCCTTGACAACCCGAACATTTCATTGAAGCACCTGATTTAGATCCTACTCTGGAAATACAAATATATAACCACTGTCAGCAAATCCTCATTAGATCATGCAAAATATAAATAATCAGATTGCATACTCACCCCTTGCATTTTGAGCACAACACATTGCGAGATAGTGATAGCTTCTTTGATGTCCCACTGTAGAGATCCTCCAAAGAGACCTTGAGAGGGTGGACAACATCCTCCCCTTTCCTTTGCCTTCTTCCTCTGCTGCTTCCACCACCTGGACATCAAATAATCCATATCCGTGAGAAACTAATTGGAGATGCATAAAAGGAATCAGTACTTCAACTACAAACATGGTTGAAAACATACCGCCAAATCCACCGCCACCAAAGAATGACTGGAATATGTCAAATGGGTCGTGTGCACCACCTCCACCACCCATTCCTTCCTTAAGAGCATCTTCACCGTACTGATCATAAATCTCACGCTTCTCTGGGTCACTCAAAACCTCATAGGCTTGGGCAAGCTCCTTAAACTGAAATATAAATTTGAAAACAAAATAACTAATCTATTGACAACACTGCAAAACAAGCGTCACCATAACCGCTCCACTAAAAAAAATAATCAACATTAAACACAACCATTACAGCTTACACTTTGGCACTATTAGTGAGCAAAAAAGCAACCCAGCCAGCTAATCATGAGTTAGAGAAGCAGAAGTTTTGTCAAACATATCACGATAACCACGCAGTTTCATATAGTACCTAACATCTAAAGTTGAGAGCTAAAAAGCGAGGTGTCAATTACAAATAGGTCAAGGTGACACCAAAACATTTACACTACTTCTACTTCGGTTAAGCAGAAAAATTTATAGAATTCTTTTTTACCCACCCCCATTGACTCAACTTCTAACCTACCGCATAGAGTACACAAACTAAGTCAACCCTACCAGAGATCACAATAAAACTTCTGTTTACCAACTGCGACACCTGAATAGGGTTAAAAACAACATTTTATACGTCTATAACATTTTTTTAACCCCTTTACACAAAGAAAACAGGTTTAAATCCCAGGTATGACTTTTGTTTATTTATTAAGTTCCCTTGTCATAATTCCTGGCTCCGCCACCGCCTAAAGTAATCCACCAAAAGGTAGGTTAGATAAACAGGAAAAAATTCACCTCAGTTTTTTGGTTTAACCACTACTGGATTTGAACCCTAGTCCCCCATGACTCATTCCACCTTCACTAACAAAATTAATTTTACCGTTTCAATTTTCCCAGTACAATTATAAACTACGACGGATCCTATGTAAACAGTAAAAATTACAAACACTATAAATCCATAAACAAAAAAGAAAGTCAGAACAGTAAAAACAGTATATTAAAAAGTGAAGAATTGTACTTTTTCAGGATCACCGCCCTTATCAGGATGATTTTTAATGGCGGCTTTACGGTAAGCTTTTTTCAGATCATCTTGTGAAGCACTCTTAGGAACTCCTAAGATCTCATAGTACTTCGAGTTGTCACTCTTCTTTGGTGCTCTCCCGAACATCTTTGATTTCAACTTAATTACTCAATTTTCACCTGCAAATCACAAATCTAATTCACCAACTATGAATTGTGATTACGTTAAACTGAATTAAATCAGCAAGAATTTATAGATTTATAGTAGTACGTACCGATTGAAAATTGAAATCCAAAGTTGAGAAGATTTGGGATTTAGGTATTTGGGAATGAAAAGGAGAAGAGGAAGGAGGCGGCTAGCGTAGGATCTGTGGTTTTATTGAAGGAAGGGAATGAACGGCCTAGATTTGTTGTTGGGCTTTAATGGAAGAATCTAGAAGGTCTTCAATTTTGTGCGGTCATAGGTAGGCTCACCGATTTAAAATTGGATTCAACTCTATATATGTTCCCACTCAACAAACCTTGTTCACCTAATTGAGTTTAAGTATATTATTTACGGATAGTATAGATAATCAAATTATTTTTTACATTATAAGATTATTTTACCCCATTAGTGGGATTAGACTAAGTTGTTCTTCTTGTTGTTGTTGTTGTTGTACTATAAGATTATTTACACATAGTCAGTATACTGCCATAAGTGGGATCCGAAGACTTGTGGTATACGCAAACCTTATCCTACCTTGTGTGAGTTATATAGATTGTTTCTGATGAACTCTCGAGCCTCGGCTCAAGAAATTTATCGAAACAGGTGTACAAATTACAAGAGAAAAAAAGCTAAAATAAAAATACTTAAGAAAGGAAAGTATTGACAACAAAAACAGTAAAGATAACCAAAATAAAGGAAGAATATTAGTAATTAAATTAAAAAATAAGATAATTGGAGTAATAATAATTTATATATACTGATAAGGAAAAGGGAAGGGCAGATAAGGTGCTTTAAACTAGAACCATGCTCAAATTTTTACTTTTTGTGAATAACTAACGTATATACTATATATATTAAGTAGTGTAAAAAGTTATATGGTCGTAGTATATGAGTTAAACTTTACTAGTACTTGCAATGTGATAATCTTTCAAATAATAATCTTAATGTTATGAAAATATTATTGTGAATTTATTTATTATTTCCCCGTAGATAATCGTCTTAAAGAAGATTATCCACTTAGTATTCCATTGAAGTTTATTTCCAAGCAGCCGATGCAGGCAGGTTGCAAGCAAATCAATTGAATGACTTGCAACAGTTTCTTATTAAACAGGCAGGTTGCGAGTAGCTCATGCATACAGCTTATAAACAGCTCAAGAAAAGCCTCGCAACTGCTTTCCATTTTTTTTGTAAATAGAGGAGATTTCAGTTCATTGTGTACATCAGTTTGAAGCTGAATAATATATCAGTCTCTCTATACTTGTCTTTGATTTATTTGCTTTGCAGTCTTTATTTTATAACATGTTATCAGGACAAAACTCTGCCATCTCAAGCAAATATTTCGAAAGTATCAAAGGATGAAAATCAGCAATTGACTATTGGCAACTTGGCAAATAGAGGTAGTGTGCTTCTTCTCTCGTGACAATACTTGGTTAGTCTTTGTTAAAAAAAGAAATCCAACTCTCTGAACACCAGAGGCAAAATTCTACTGCTACTCTTAAGATAAGTACTATGAAATTATGTTCTTTATGTCTTTTGAGCTTGAATAAATATATGTTTATCATGTATGTTAATCACATCTTTCTAGCCAACTAAAATGGTGCAGATGCCATTTTATTTGGATGCGGTTTCGTGAAATTGGAAAGGACAATTGATTTTACTTAAGCTATTATATGGTCGCGAAACTACAACAATAGTTTATGTGGCAAACGGTTGGGGCTATATATGTTTATATAATAACTATTTTTATACTTATTTCATACTTGATCGTTTAGTGAAGGATTAAAAAGTGGATAACAATGTAAGATCCACCTTAAACTCCAGCAGAGATTATAAGAAATATATGATTACCAACAGTGTTAATATTTTTTAAGTCACGTTATTGCTTAACTCCAGCAGAGTAAGGCTACCAGAAGCGGCTATGTTTCAATCTCATTGTAACTAAATTTGTTAACCACCTGAAGAGGTATATACCTATGACCATCAGAAGTGGTAATTTGGGCTTGCTATGGTTATAATGAATATAAGTTAGAAAAATTCTCTATATTATATGCATACCTTGATTTGCTCCTGAAGTAGCAAACATACTAAAGAGGTAATACGTTTGAAAGTGAATGAATAAATACCACAACAAGAGGTAGAATAACAAAGGATGTAAATGTTATTTTGTGGCATGAAGAGTATTGTTGCACGTACCAATCGTACATCGAAACATCTTGAATAATTTGCTAGATTCATTTAAAGCAAAAGGATATATATCTTGTAGTTAGATTTCTACTATAACCACATTAATATATTATGGTCAGTTATTATTCAGTTTCCGGAGGAAAAAACAACTCGTGTATCTTTCCTTAAAGGATGTAATAACTATGTGGTTGCCGCTTTGATGTAAGTATTCAGATGTTAATGATATTTCTCCCTAAAGGATATATTTGTCACAAAGTTAATAGCAGAAATACTGAGATTCTTAATTTTCCTTATTTGTAAATTATTTGATGTTGTTCGTTTGATTATGATTTTCTCTCATGACACTAGAAGTGTCTAAGCAATATTTAGCTCCTGAAGAGCTAATTATTTGTCTAGAAGACACATGACACGAACAGTATCCGAATAATATTAGATTGTGGATAATAAATAAAGGCTCTAAAAGAACTTTTATGCAAATATGTCATTCATATTAAAAAGTTGTTATCAAGACATATATTGTAATAAACCAAAAGTTTAAAGTACGAATGGCTATCATACTAAGAATACAAATGATTAGAAGATTGAAATTTTGTACATTTCCACAATCATAGGAGGTAAAATAATATGTATGTAAGAAATTACCCGTCCTATTCTTCAATATGTACTACATCATGTATCACAATAAACTATAAGTTTATTAATGCAAAAACAGTCACAGTAAATCAGAAGTTTTACTAAGGTAAAAGTAGCTACAGTAAATCAGAAATTTGCTGATACAAAAATAGCACAGTAAATCAGAAGTTTACTAATGCAAAAGTTCATGCCATAGTAAACCAGAAGTTTACTAAGAGATAGCACATGCCATGATAAACTTGAAGTTTTCATTTGTCATTTTTAAATGAGCTATTTGAGAATTAAGATAAGCATATACTGAAGAACTAGAAGATTCTTCAAAAATTCTCTTGTGTTGCTTGTTCTCATAAATAAATTGATTATACCAGCTAAAGTGTAATAACCAAATTTTTTATACATACTTATTAATTTACGAGTTTGAAAATTTATTAAATAGTTGCTGAACATAATTAACTATTACACACATTAAGTTGGTGTCACGACCCAAAATCCACTATAGGTCGTGATAGCTCTCACGCTACCGTCAGGCAAGCAAACATTGATTGATTCACTTAATTACTCATTTTTATTACTTTTGAAATCATAATTTCCATTAATTAAATAATATGAAATAGAATTTACAGGGTGAAACAATGATAATAAGGTGAACTACCATACTAAACATCCAGTAGGAACCCCCAAGATCCGGTGTCACAAGTGCATGAGCATCAACTAGGAAATATGATAACAGACAACACCTATCTAGAATACAAATTAGACAGGAGAATGTAAATAACTCTGATGGGGACTCTGTATGCTGCAGATTCGTACATGGAATGCAGCTCACCGTAAGTCCCCGCGATAGCCGTGCCTCTGCGCCCACAAGATCACTAGACATATATATATATATATATATATATATATATATATATATATATATATATATATATATATATATATATATATATATATATATATATATATATATATATACCTGCACAAAATGTGCAGCAAGTATAGCATGAGTACGTAAATCAACGCGTACCCAGTAAGTATTTAGTCTAACCTCGAAGAAGTAGTGACGAGGGGTTGACTTCGACACTTACTATGGGCTAACAATAAAGTACCAAAATTATAATTAAGCATGGATTATATAAATACAACTGAAAACTCAATAATAAGAAATACATAAACAATTCATTCACTAATGGTATCCCAAATTAATTTTCATCAATTAACAAATTAATCTTTCAAGCCAATGAAATAGTATCAATTATAATTGGCTACCAGAATTTTTACGCACGAATTATGTCGAGGTCGTACGGCCCGATACAACATACAAATATATAAACTGTGCACTGCCGAGGGTCGAACGGCACGAACCATAGATGCATCTATTAACCTGCCAAGACGAACGACCCGCTCCCATGAGAGTAGTGGAATTTACCTCGCTCGCGGAATATACTTGTGACGCTAGTGAACATAGATTCCTCAAAGTTATCGTAATATTCCTCAATTATTTCCAAACATAAGAAATTCAAACTGAAAACTTTTAAATCTTGAAATCCTCAATCTCAGCTCTAATTAAGGCAAATAATAAGCATAATCAAATAACAGTGTCAACAAGGCACGGTGTAACCCTAAGACTACCTAGGCAATAGCATAATTAGTAGCTACACTTGGACTCTCGTCACCTCGTACGTACGTAGTCTCCACAATTAGTAGCAAACAATAATTTAAATCACATGTGGGGTAAATTCCCTCTTACAATATTAGACAAGAGACTTACCTCGTCTTAAAGCCCACTTTCCGGTCACTATTTCACTCTAAAGCCCCAACTTGGTGCCGTTCAATCCGAAACTAGTCAAACGACGTGCAAATTAATCAAAAATATACTCCAATGCTTGAAATTTAACAATTTATAAAAATTCCCAACTCCGCTCGAGAAGTTGGCAGTGGGGCCCATGTCTCGGAACCCAACGAAACTCACAAAATTTGACAACTCATTCAATTACGAGTTCAACCATACTAATTTCATTCAAATCCGACTCTGAATCAGTATTCAAAACTCGAAAATTCGTTTTGTGAAATTATAGAAATTTTTCCGATTTCTTCTTGGAAAATCAATAATCTAACACCGAAAATGAAGATTAATCCATGAAATATAATCACAAGTTAGTCAAGAATGCTTACCCCAAGTTTTGTGGCGAAATTCCTCTCCAAAATCGCTAAATCCCAAGGTTCCCAACTGAAAATATGAAATAATGGCTCAAAGGTCCAAAATAGAGAACTTATAACACTTCCCTGACTTCCTTCTTCGCATTCACGAGCCTCCCGTCGCGTTCGCGCTGAACAAAATTTTCAAAAGCCATTTCCAAACTCTTCTCAGACAACCTCTAGTATAATGATCATAATCTTTTGTACAGAACTCCAAATGATAGATGGTTTAACTTACTGAAGACTGGA